CAAATCATTCAGACCATTCATATTATTCATATTTGTCTGTTGTAATCCCATCACATCCGACCACTCATACAAATTAGTCCAATCGAGAGAAATTGGAAGCGACAAAAATGGGTTATTTTCACTATCATTAAACATAAATGACGAAACTTCTGGAATGTGAGAATCCATAAATAATTCATTATCTGCTTTCATTGTAGGATCATTAATCGACATATAACTTGTAGTCGAACTTTCAGAAGCTGGAGAGGAATTTGGATCATAACTAAATGGTTGTGTTCCATTGATATTTGAAGGAACTTGATTAATCACATGTTGTCTCATTGCAGCGCTATATTCTCGAATTGAAGCAGGCGTTGCATTTATTTGACTTGGAATTGATGGTGGTGTTGAAGGAGATTGGGACGAAGCTGACATTTCGTTGATTGTTGAAACAGGTGCCATATCATCCAGATTAGTAGAATGGTATGCAGAACGCCTCTTTTTAGATGAAGGTTTTCCATTCGATCCATTATCATCAGAAGAGAAATTAATATCACTATCAAGATTAATATTTTTATATTTAACCAAATTGCTTATTATGGTATGACACTTTTCAGCGGCAAACCAATGAGGTTTCATATAATCTAAGCATCTTAGTATCATCCTAAGACCGTGCTTAGCTACTTCTCTGAATCGATTGTCACCGCTAAAAGCATTTATTAAATGCATGGTAGCAGCGGTAAAAAAAGGATAAAGCATAAGTGACCATGATATTTGCAATTTCCCTTCTTTCACTAAACGGTGCAGGATATGTGTGATGTGATTTGCAGCTCTAGTGCATATAGTCAATGATGGAATAGTTGAAGGAGGAACTTTGGACTTTGGACCACGAATATGGGGACGATGTAAAAGAATTTGAATTGTATAATATAATAGATGAGCTATTAATTTCTTTCTGCTAATCAGATCATCAAACATGAGAGTCGAATAATCGTATTGAAGTTCTTTTGGAAGTTTTTCTTTCCATTCGATTAATGCTGCGTGTAACGTGGGCAATAAACATTGATTATTATTGTTTATATTCTGTTGAGACTTTATACCGTAAACATGAGATAGCACACGTCCAAGTATTAAAATAATCTTAAGCGTCTCAATCCATACGGTAGAAGTCGGATCTCCGGGTATCAATCCATTTGTGGGAAACTCGACGTCGCAATCAACCTCGTTAATAGCAAGCGGCTGCAATGTACGATAATAATAGTTTTTTTTAACAATTCAAACAATTAAATATAAAAAAAAAATAAAATTTTACATACTCGACCTAATGCAGCACTTGTTAATCCATCCATCATAACACAAGACCACCATACGCGTCTTCTAATTTGTATGAGTGGTCGGATGTGATGGGATTACAACAGACAAATATGAATAATATGAATGGTCTGAATGATTTG